GTACACACACACGCGTGACCAAACACCAGGTCTGGAGACTCATTGGAGCAATTTTGAAATATAAAGCATCCTGCTTACCTTTTCCATCCCTAGGGCATCTCATCACCTGCAAGGCCCGAAAAGAAAAGCAGGTCTCTTGCTCAGGTCTCTCAGATTATGGATGAGTATTCATGCCATTTCAATTTGTCAGTCAATGAAAACCAGAGCTCTAAATTTTCTGTCCATGACTTTCCCTGGGGAAACTATTAAGAAGAATGCAACCTTGCCAGCTATTTCTGTCCAGCTGTCCAAACTGGCATGTTCAAGGGCATCTGCTTACACTCAGGGCCTGGCATGAGAAGAGGGTTGATGGAGGGTACTCAAGGAGGATTTCCTACCATTTGACATGGACTACAGCAGGAGAGAAGAAAGACTAGGAAAACCACAGTGAGTACCTTCAAGTACAAACAGATGAAAAGCTGTGAACTTTCCCATTGCAGAAGGCTCTGGGCTCACTCTCGGGTCTACTGAGTTTCATATGGCATAACAGAAAACACTTTACATTTGAGAGCAAAGCCCAAGACAAAACAAAAACTGGAGTCTGATTCCAATGTGCAGCTTAGTATACTTACTTCAGACTTCTAATAATCTCTCCGTCATGCAATTTCCTCACTTGTGAACTGGCAATAGCAAAAGTGATCTAGCCTCTCACCCAGTTAGCAAAAATGACATGAAGGCACCTTGCAAGTTATTGCAGAAAATTCCAGGTAATAATTTCTTTTATTTCCCACAACCCAAGATTATGGTTCCAGCTATCTTTTCCTTATGTCTTCCCTAGTGTTTGATAGGTGGGACAGGCTATCCATGTGACTTTCCCAGCTATGCCTAGCATAAGCAGAGAATTTAGCCTGTTGATACCAGGTGCAGAAGCCTCCTCCAGGTTGCTAAACACAGGCTTTATATGAAATTTCAAGCTAATTATCTGTCTGTCCAACAAGGAAAGTTAGTAAAAAGAGCAAATTAAAATTCTTGTTCCAAAACTTACTCTCCTAACTCCCCTTTCTCTCCGAGATGACAGTGTCACAGACAGAGGTAGCAGTGATACCTCTGACACTTCCCCACCTCCTCCTTTCTTATTGATCTCTAGTTATTTTCTTCTTGCACCTCAGTATCCCCCAAACCAGGCTTGAAGCTGGTTTAGTTGTGTGATGTGGGAGAACTTTCTTCTCCAGACTGGGGGCTCGTGTTCTCATCTGTGAAGCATGTGATTTTCAGATTCCCCCCCCCCTTAAATAAGATTGTGTTAATCAAATGCCTGGTTCATATTAATTTAGTACTCACTTTCAGCTAAGCCGGATGCCTCACTGATGTCCAATAATGGACAGTCTTTTCCGTCACTATCTCTGCATCTTTCCTTCTCTTTTCTACTCCCTCCTCTGCTTCTGCCTATCAAATCACAGAGAACCTTTACCAAGCACCCATCAAAGGCCATCTCCTGTTAGTCCCCAGAGGTGATGCTTATCACTTCTGAAATGTAAATGATTCTTGAACAGTATTTCATAGCTCACAAGGCACTTGGCATTATTGTCACACACCCTACCTTTGTAAATGTCATCTCTTCTTGTGGGCTTTTGTGTTTATCTCTCTTTCATAACCTATTTATATAACACATAGTTTTCAAGTGACTGAGGGGTATGATCAGCCAATAAAGGAATTGCGGATCTGGTAGAGGCCAATGAAAAGTGACTCAGAAATAAATCATTTAAACAAAGAATAAGACACCAAGCACACTTCATATTTTGTGTGCTGATTTTTTAATGAACATTTTATAATCTTATAAAATAACTGGTGGTAGCTGTTTTACATTACAATACAGTAGATCAGCTCCTTTCACTGTGTTCCAATCATACCATCCCCTTGGGTGCTAACTGACACACTCAATAGCAATCACACAGAATAGATGAACTGTCAAGACCAATGCCTTTTAATGTTGGAAAGGGAAGGGAAGAACCAAGGAGACTCTCAACTCACTGCTTTCTCTGCCTGAATCTGCACATTGTTCTTGTTGACCTCTTTCCTGTCTCTGGGATTGAAGACTGCCACATTAGCCACTGAAGTCAGCCACCCCTCGGCCACATGGACCTCAGACTTCTAGTTATTCGGAACAAGAAGAAACGGAGAAGTGAATCTGGAACAAAGAGCCAGACAGAGGAGCCTCTGCGAAGGGTCCTGGGTGACATTATGGATGTGTAAGAGAAACAAGATGCAGACAAACACATGGGGACATGTGAGTTGTCCCTGGGATCTATGATCATTTTCTTTATTAGGGACTTGTGTTGCTCCAAACACTGAAGCCTGGGGACAAAGTCTAGACAAGACTGCTGCTGCTGTCTCTAGTTGATTATGGCTAAGTGGCCTTTAGGCTGAGGAGATTTTTATACACCACAGAAACAGTCCTCTTGCCTTCCCAGGGCATGGTGAATGTTGCCAAGGGAAAAACAAAGTATCTTCAAATGAACTATGGAGTGGAAATGCCCTCTCTGCTACTCTTAATTAACTTAACAGAAAGGCTGAGCGTGGACACACGGGGCCATAGCCTTTCTGGGCAGGGCTATGCCCAGGATAGCTATTACCCTGTGTCTGGGTCTGTCTCATCTGTCATGATTGCCCAAGGCATCCTAGAATTTGGATGTTTCTCCAAGAGAACAATTTTATAGTGCGTGTGTGCGTGTGTGTGTGTGTGTGTATTTAGTGTATTTAGTAGAGAATCTAACTTTTCTCTCATTCTTTCTATTTTAAATTTATCAGGATCCAAAAATACATGAGTTGTCTCTTCTGACTGAGGGCACTAAGTGAGACCCAGACAGTGAACAGTATTTAAGCAACTGTGTACTTTGTAACTAGGAATAGAGGCAATAAAGGAATTTTGGATTAATAAACTCTGTTCTTCTCTATCTCAATGACTCTGTTTTCCTTATTTGACTTACTTAAAGGTAAGAACGTGTACATTGCTACATCCACAGTCATTGCAGAATATTGCTCTTCTCGTGTACAGCAGGGATGATGTGCTGATGATGGTTAGTAATGTTGCCTTTCTCCTTTTATTGATCAGTTGCTTCATTGATAATGAAGAATAGGGAGAACACAAGAGAGGCTGTGGAGATACCAGAGATGGCTTCAAATTTTGTCTGCTCTCAGTTTCTACTGAAGAAAAAATTAGGGAAAGACAGAGCTCAGAGCCTTTGTAAGAGGACAAGACCAATGTTAAACAGGAAAAACTAACTTTCTAGGTCTGATCCAGAAACTGTTATAAGAACACAGAGCTAGATCAGATCTCATGGGGAAATGTGAGCCCACGATGGGTGGAAACAGAAGAGTTAATATGACTGATTTGTGTGCAGTCCATATAGCTATTGAATGTGGTTGATTTGTGTGTAGTTCATACAGCTATTGAATGTGATTGATTTGTGTGCAATCCATATAGCTATCGAATGTGATTTATTTGGGTGTAGTCCATATAGCTATCGAATGTGATTGATTTGGGTGTAGTCCATACAGCTACTGAACAAGAAATGGCAAAGATAACAACATGGACCCTAAATAGTTGAAATTCTTCTTTCTCCCCACAGAGTGTCACCCTCGCTCCACCTGTTCCCAGGCTCCCTTCCTGGGTTGCTGCAAACTTTAGGTGCTGCCACTTGAATATGATTTATCTTGTCGCTCAGAGGATCACTCCAGCCTCCTCTGGAGCCTTGGGACAGGGACTTCCTCACTCATTCTGTCCTCTTATCCCCCACCCTGCTTTAATCCTGACCCCCCCAACCTCTCTGACAGTCTTGACGCGTCCATCCCTCTTGATTCTTTCATCGCCTGTTACCTTTCCCTTACTGTGTTTCCAAAGCCTTTGCTTTTCTCAGAAAGTCAAGAGCTGCTGATGTGGCTGTGAATGACGGCCAGACTTTGGGACTTTCAAAAAGGAGAGACACCAACCAGCCAAGTATGAAGAGGGTGTAAGTTCCTGTAAAGTCCGGTGTTCGGAGAATGAGCCCTAATACAACGAGACTGACTGGCTGGCAGCTAAACTTGGACTAGGCACACGAAGGAGTGGAAAAGACCCTGGACTTCACCAACACTAATAGAGTTCTGAGAAGGGGAGGTTTGTGTGTTCCTTTTGCCGATACTTAGAAACCATTGTCTAGTTCTACTAGACTGCTGCCAAATGGGTTCCCATTTGTAACTTTCCATGCCTCTTGCTCTTAGCATGCCAAATCTACCTCCCTTCAGCAGGCCCAGCTCCCAGGTCATAAAATGATGCTCAGCTGACAGGCCATGATCCAGAATTGCATTTCCTCTTTCTTCTACCTGCCAAACTGCCAATCCTGATCAATAGAAGGAGGGCAAAAGGACCTTTCTGTTCTCGAAGCTTCAGTATCCATCTGGACATGAACTTCACAGCAGCATGTGTGGAACAATGGATAACTTTTAGCTTAGTAAACAGCAAAATATATAATATATTTATATAATTATGTTTAAATACTTACAAAGACATAGCTAACTGCATTACTTAAGAAAGACTACTCAAAAGAAAGGCAAAGGGTCAGTTTAGAGTAGATGAGCCCTGAAAGATGACAGTCCATCTGAAATGGGGATTAACAGAGTGTCCCTGGCAGCTTACCTTCTAATATTCTGATGGTGTTTTACACGCTGGGTGGGGTTGAGCCACTGACAGCGTGCAGAGTGGGGAAGAGAGTGAGAGCTGAGAAAAGGGTGAAGCAGAGGACAAACGGGGAAGAGGGATCCTGCCTGTCACCTTTCTCCTTCCTTTTTTAATCAACTGTTTTCTTTTAAAGACACTTTCGCCTAAAATTCCTCCCTGTTTGGCCTACGTAATGCATTAATTGGCACCCACAAACATTCTCTTGCATGTCTTAATGACTCTCCATTTTAGGCTCTCCTTCAGTCGTGGGACCTGGATTGTTCATTCATCCTTTGCATCCTGCGGCGGGAGTCTCTCTCTTAGTCTGCCTCCAGGTTAGAGAGGGTGGGCTCTGGTCCTAGAGTTACTGATTTTCTTCTGCCTTAGGGTCTCGGCAGGTGCACTCATCCTGGTCACAGTCCGCAGCAAATGGAATGACCTAGGGGAATGAACAGGAAGTTGAAATCATTAAGTTTTGTGTGTGTGTGTGTGTGTGTGTGTGAAGGTTCAAATTATCAATTGCCTTTAATTTCCCTCACTTGGTCCTACAAAGAAGAATAAGATCAGAGGTTTGTATCATAGATCAGTAATCAACACCAGGCCGTCTTGTGATATCATTTTAGGCAAGGGAATCCATCACTGCTTCCCTTTCTTCATCTATAAGGTGAGAAGACACCAGTTCCACTCTCCAGAAAACATCTTCATTCTTGGGATAAATGGATGGTGGAACACGTTTATACCTTGCTACACACCTATAACTATTGTTGACATAATTCCTAACATTACTGACAACGTTTAGTTTCATTGTTTCTGTTGCAATCCTCCTAGATAGAAAGACGAATGTCAGCACATCTCCTTGTGAGGACCACTACAACTGACTTCACTCAGAGCAATGGCTGCCACACGGGAAGCCTAGAATCCCTAAATGTTCCATGTTTCTGACTTTGTGCTCTTGGGGCAGCGGGATAATCCCTGGAATCTTCATATGCATGAACATTTGCCTTTCTTGAGCCTAAGGTATACTGTGGGGTGGTGAGACATCACAACTCCTTACCCTCTGTGTGTGAGACTGTTAGCTCAGTTCTATGTAATTATCCCTCTCCCATTTCAGAGGTGATACAGAAAAGCTGCTTTTGTTCCTGCTTGTACTGTTACCAACAGATAAGCAATTCCTTTAATTAGAATCAAATTAGAATCAAAGACAATGGCTGCTACTGAGCCACGAGAGTGGTAAATACCTTTTGGGTACTCATGATTAAATGAGATAACCACCAATGTCACACATCAGTGCAGCCGCACTGAGGGATGGGTTTAGTGACTGCACATTTTGATTGGAGAACGGGTGAGACTGTTTGCACATATGAAATAAAACATGATGTAAGAGTCAGCAGAGATGTGGTGTGCCTTTATAATCTCAGCTTTTCTGTATACTGGCCCAGGTTCACACAGAATGAAACCGAGAGATTTAAACAACTTCTTCCAAGGTGGCCATGCCTTCCTGAACATAGATAGACTCCTTAAGTAGCTATTTCCACAAGTAAGAATAGAAAATAGCCGGCCCCATTTCTGCCTTCTTGTCAACGTTCCTTGAGCTAATTTCTCTTAGCTCAAGACTGGTAAGGTGTCAGGGAAAGAGAGGGCCAAATTTGTGGATGATGTATTGAGTCCCTGAGCACCCCATGTTGTCTCCTCGTTCATATGTAATGTTGAACATAGTGCCTGACACATAGTGAGCAGAGGGGGCAGAACCTGTCTGTGGTACTCTAGTCTGTGTATATCTCCTCATGTCTTTATTGTGGAGATGATACAGAGAAGAAAATAACACCAGGAGATTTCCAATTGAATTTGTCAACTAGCTTCAAATATCACCAGAACACTTGCATTTTTTTTACTCATAACATTGTAAAATTTCAGCTCACTCAGTTTTACAGATGTAAGGAGCTTATCTATTAATTTAACGGAGCCAAGAGTAACAGAGACAAAAGGGTATTAGACAAAGGGATGCTGCAGATCTGCTCAAGAGAGTGGTTCAGGTAGCTCCTGTAATTATATCCCTATGATGTACTTGTAATAGAGCAAAGGTAAGTAATAACCGGGAAGTTTTTTCCACTGGTCATCTAGAACCTTTAAGAGAAGGAAGACATTCTCTGGTCTGGGCAATGATAGACTGGCAGGAGACTTTCAGGAACAAAAGCCATTGCTGTCCCAATGGGTCACTGTATTGGAAAGACGTACTCACTACCCCTTTTCCTAATCAGCTAATCTCCTCATCACTCCAGAAACTCCTCACTCATTGCCATTCCCTCCTAACGACTGTACCATGAAGGAGGGCTAGCCAGACCCCCCCTAATTCCCGGAGCCACATGACCTTCCCACCCACCCCAGGTGCTCTCACTTACCTTCTTGGAGGACAGTGTGGACGAGCAGCAGTCTCCCCCATCATAGCGGCAATAGGCCCGGTTATTGATAGTGTCACACCAACCATCTGCTTGGAAAGGCTGGGAAGAGATGGGGTCAGTGTCCTGTGTAGCGCCAGGGCCCCAGTTCCCCTCCCCTCAACCTACTCTAACCCAATTCACAAAATACCCACGAGACTGCGATGAACACCCAAAAGGCAGAACACATTCTCAAGTACTTGACAAGCCTTGAGAAAAGCTTTGTTCCCAAGGCTCTGTCTACATTCCTGCCTAGCTCCTGTTTCTGGCCCAGTCTAAGATCTTGTTTCTATCGTTAAGCTTTCTGCTCAGTTACATTAGATTTCTGGTAATAATAAATCTTCATAGTATATTGTATACGTCCACATTTTAATTCTGTCTTTTGTTAGAAAACGCCTGTGTTCTGAGCAACGTTGGCTCTATCAGTGAGAAGACAAAATTGTGAACAGAGAAGAATCTCCCAGCTCACATAGCCAGGGTCATGTAGAGCTAGACATTATTCACCACATATCTTGTCTTTATACTACTTCCCTTCATTATGAGGCCTTTCGCCAAAGCCTGGCACTTAAAAGCCCTAGAAGTCCTCAACTTCTGTGATGGCCTTTATGTTGTCTGTCCAAAGTGAAAGTGGTCCGAGGTTAAGAACACCAGAGTTGGCACAAAAAAAAAAAAATATTCCCACATGTTCAGCTAGGTACCTGATGCACGGCAGTTAGACACAGTGTTTGAGCAGGGAATTGAACTGTTTCCATACACTCCTGTTACTGCTGTCAGTAACAGGAACAAAAATGGGAAATGGGCCCAACACTAAACCAGAGTCAATGGACTGTTTCACCCCAAAAGGGAATGTGTGATAAGAACAGCAACCAGTAGTTAAAAAAACACTTCAGCCAACCAATGCATTGCTTCTCCAGATAGTTACCTCTTGAGGGAAATAAACTGCACAGCATCCAAGAGGGTCTATCAGCCAGCCTAACTGCACTGAAACCCTGGCTTATCCTCTCCCCTTCATGCTCAAATGTAAACGCATAGGAAACATGTCGTGGTCAAGCTCTTTGATTGACAGAACTTTGGCATTCAGAGACCACCTATCAGTTACAGGTGAAGATCGCTTCCTCTCTCCGACCTTCCTTAAATGTCAGCTATGAAGATTATTCCATACTCCATATGCTTTGATAAAATAGATCACTCAATTCAGTAATGACCATGAAATAAAGTTCGGCAATTGGGTTACATCACAACAAGTTTGTCCAAGGCATTACTTCAGTGTTTTGATTTATTCTATGGGGTCCTGAGGTCATTTGAATATCTCATCTCAGCTGTGTATACCCATTTGCCAACCACTGGATAGAAGCTACTTGTAGGGGAGACCTCAACAGCTGTTGCACAGCTGTACAGCAATGTCAGCTGAGAGCAGGAAGGGACACGAATTCTGTTTGCAACATAGACCTCTCTGTGAGAACAAACAAAAACCCAGAGGTGAACATTTGTCTTTCTCAGTAGAGCCAGTGGTTTTGGCTCCAGGAAGCTTGAGATGACTATATGAGCAGGCACGGGGGAGCGGATCCATCTTTTAAGATCCCTCCAGTTCCTCTTCCTTTTTTCAAGTGTTTCGAGAATAATTTACTCACCCAATACTAAGCTCTGTTACTCTTCCTCCTACCTTTCCTAATTAATTGGCCACACTTGGTCAGCTTCATTTTTACTGTCTATATAATTGGTATGATTACAAAAACTCAGAGATCTCTCCACTCCCCGTGCATATCTTTGCACACTCTTCAGAATGGAGGGAATGGTAAGGCTGGAGATGATTTCCTTTTCAAATAAAACTTATATTTTCTGCATGCATGTATGTGCATTTATGTGTGTGCTAGTGCATCTGTACATGTGTGTGCACGCTTGTGGAGGTGAGAGGCCAACTTTAGGTTTCATTATACAGGTTCCACCTGTGTTTTGATTGTTTTGAGATGAGGTCTAAACCTCATCAAGTAGACTAGGCCAGAGAACCTTAGAGAGCTATCTATTTCTGCCTCCCCTGCACTATGATTAGAAGTGTGTAACAAAATCCAGGTTGGTTTTGTTGTTGTTGTTTGTTTGTTTTTAACAGGGCTTCTGGGATCAAATTCAGGTCCTTATGCTTGTAAGATAAGAACATCACAAACAGAGCCATTTCCCCAGTCTACATTTTTGAATAGTTTTAGGAAAAAATCCAGGGTAATTGTAACATCTTTACCATGGATAGTTTCCCATCTCAAGAACATAAGAGATTACATGATGAAGCAGTCACAGCCTAGGTGACCTTCCCTAGGCCTCACTGGGTTTCTCTTGCAATGATCCCCAAATGATTTCTAAAAGCTCTTTGATTTTTACCCCTAGAAGGTCATGGGGAGAAGAAAGAATTTCTAAGAAGAAGGTAGACATATAGAGAAATTTTGGAAAGACTCATGGGTTTAATATACTATCTACCTGTTAGAATTAATTGTTCTTTCCCTAATGTGCCAACCACTGCACCCTCAACCAACAGAATCTCCTATGGCAATATGTGCCAAGGAAGACTGACAGTTTGAAGCCAAAGCTAAAAAGGAAAGAGCAGGAAAGGAAAAAAGACTAATTGATCCAAAGTTTGAAAACATTCAAAGACTGGATTTGGAGTAGACTTTTGTTGCAACAGTTGAATAAGTCAGACTCAGTACACTCCTCTCTCAAGACTATTCTTCAAGAGAGGGTATTTGGATGATTTTGGTCCTGTGCACAAGGATACATTTCCTCCACCCGTATGTATGCTTCATTTACACCATAAGGTGTGCCCTGTAAGTGTATTTTTTAAACACTTAAAGCTTATTTCATAGAGGTCACTTTTTGATTCTCATTTTAATCATGCTGACAATGAAAAAAAATCTATAAAATGCATCTACTTATACAACACAGAATCGTCAATAAGAACATTAGTTCTTCTCAATGTTCGGGAAGATTCATTTCCTTACTAAATATGCTTTCTATTGCACACACACACACACACACACACACACACACACAATTTCAGCTGTTATTTACCATTGAGACAGAAATCCAAGCCTGCAGATAATAGCTAAAGTAAACTCATTAATCGAAGACTGTTGGAGCTGTTCCTCTTACGACATTTTCCCTTTATTGTTGTAGGAGACTGTTTGTTCCCAGCTGCTCAGCTCCGAAATAACCACATACATTATTTGCAATACTATTTGGCCAATAGCTTAAGCATTTTACTAGCTAGCTCTTACATCTAGAATTAACCCATTTCTATTAGTTTTTATTTTGACATGAGGCTTGTGGCCTACTGGCAAGGTTCCAACTGGTAGCTCATGTCTTTCCCTTCTGGTGGCTACATGGAGTCTCCTGACTCTGCCTTCTTTCTCCCAGCATTCAGTTTAGTTTTTGCTGCCTAGCTCTACTTTTCCCTGTAACAACAGACCAAGCCAACTTCTTTATTCATTAACCAATAAAAGCAACACATATACAGAAGGACTTCCCATACCACTTTATGGTATCCATTTTTATTGTTACAGAAAGGCTTATCTTGCTGATCTCTTAGTGGTAGCTGTATTGTAAGGTGAGATGACCAGATAAATCATAAATGAGAGTACACTTGGAACACACACCAGTCTATTCTGTCTGTATAGCTTTGGATGTTTCACTAAAATAAGTACAATTTCTTCTTCATTAGTGTAATTATTATAGGAGGCTCCTTTTACACAGAATGAGTTGTTATTCTCATTATGTCCAATGATATTTATTGTTTTGCAGCTCTTCCCCCCAAAGACTGAGCCACAAAGATGGTGGCTCTTTTGTCTGTGGCTGTAGCATAGTTATTTAGCCAACCAGCCAACATTCTTGATTCTATACCTATATATGCAGGGTCTCTCTATCTCTATATACATATACATATATGTATGTGTATGTATATATAAACTCTACCTATATTGCAGGACCACTACATATATACATATATATTATACGTGTGTGTGTGTGTGTGTGTGTGTGTGTGTGTGTGTGTGTGTGTAAGATAGAGGTAGTGAAAACATGGCTCCCCCTCTTGGGGAAGGCCACTGTTAGTAGTCTCAGTCTGATGGGCTAGCTCAGTGCTGGAATCAAAATCAAAATGTGGATGAGAAATAACTTGATTTAGATTTAGGGATGAGAGGATATGGCTTCTGCCATATCCTCAATGGATAATAATGTCAGACTAGGTGATTCTACAGGGAGGAAGAATCTGAAAGAATAATGAAAGGAGAAGAAAGACAATAGAGGAGGCCTGTTAGGTAGCCCCAGAGCCCACCCACAAGAGAGTGCCAAAAACTTTGATTGATAGACTAGCAATGCAGTCCTTGTGTGAACAAGACCAAGAACTGTTTTCTTCTGCAGCTTCCAGTAGAACCTAGGACCACAACTATGTTGTAAAAAAGCAGTTCCGACCACCATCCTCCTGCTCTGGTAAAGTAAAGGTTGGGATCTCAACCAGAAGGGACCCTCCCTCTGGGAACCTTGGGGCATGAATTCCTGTTTGATTATAAGGATAACTTAAACCAGGAGTAGGCATTAAAGCTTGGCTTCATGTCAAGCACTCTTTTTTCTGTGTGTGTGTCTTTTTTTTGTTTGTTTGTTTGTTTGTTTGTTTTTCGAGACAGGGTTTCTCTGTGGTTTTGGAGCCTGTCCTGGAACTAGCTCTTGTAGACCAGGCTGGTCTCAAACTCACAGAGATCTGCCTACCTCTGCCTCCCAAGTGCTGGGATTTAAGGCGTGCACCACCACCGCCCAGCTTTGTGTGTGTCATTTTTGAACAAGCTTTCCTGTTACTCAGATGAGAAATCAGAGCACCAATTTGCTAACACTTTCTAGAATGTGTTGGAACTCCAAAGACACCTCTTTCCAGGCAAGCTATGATGAGACACCCACAAGAAGCTCCACATAGTAGACTGGTCTGTGGACCAAGTGGCCCCACCCACTTGCTCTTCAATAATGATGACATTCTACTTCGTTCTCAGCCTCACCTTGTACTATATGGCTTCAATGCCTGTATACTCCCA